TTGAACCAACAGCCTATAGAGGAAAGATACATACCAATACCATACAATTCAAAATTGAGGATAAGACGACAATGAATGCGGAACTGCCCTTTTATCCACAATATATATTAATTAGATATGCACTGGTTATTTTTAATCTCCAATAGATACACGATTACAGGAAGATTAAATAAATTCGAAGGCTTAGCCCTAATTACCACTATTATGTTGCAGACTAAAGAAATCGGCCATTCGACCCCCACTACGCTCGCGATACCTGCTACGAACACAAAGAAACCCAGCCAGACTAACACTGTTCTGTTTATAACATATACAAATAACAACGAACCCCACCTCACTACACCCCACAAACAACGGAGAAGTTGACCCTCCACCCACGGGGGGGTGGTTAACAGCACCCCTGCAGGGGTTAACGTACGTGTAGGCAGCGTGAACGGCGACCAGGCGTTTAAACGTCCCGTGACGGGGGAGCCCGGGCGATCCGTCGCTCCTGGCGACACGTTCAGGAAAAGTCCCCTAAATTGAGAAATCGGTAGTCGTCGTGCCGAGGCTCGGTTGAAACTCTGCCCCTCGTCGTAAACTGGCAGGCCGGAAACACGCGACCGTGTGTATCCTAAGGGACACGAACACAGCGAACAACGGTGCAAGAACCCCCCAGCCGATCCAGCCGGGGAACTTTCAGCAATGCGTTTCCCTGAGATTAAAGACTTGATCTTACAACTAGATCGATTCGTTAACTGCTTACAACCTGAGCAAGTAGTTACCCTGAGAGAATAATCGTTACTAGAAAATAACTGTAAGTTAGGGAGTCTGCGGATTAGATTCTCGATCGAAATGCGTAAATGACAGCAGTGGCACTACATTAAGAGGTACCTACCTACTAGCGTAGCGCAAGCAACAATGTTCCTGCAGAGCGCAAGCCGAAGGATCAAAGTGTGCAAGCCTGCCAGAATCCGCACACTTTGATTTTCCTACTGAACGGAACGATAGAACAGACGCCAAAATAATAGAAGCACACACGATGACATGGAATGAGCAGATATTAGGACTCGGACAGCGGAATGTGTAAACGGTAACACAGATTTATAAACTTTACCATTGTTATAAATCGGCTAATTACGATTCACGCTAGTTTTAACTTTTAAAATAAATAAAGCAATAATTTGCTTTTGAGCTCTAAATATATATTCTATCTCACCACTGACAGGCGATATTTATCTTGATGATATACCCAATCGACGGACATCCACAAACACTACACCACGACGCAACGACACAAGTTACAACACCACATCACAAATATACAATCTATGTTGGAGTATTCGCTATATCACACGCGCCGGGCCAGATCACTCCAAGCGTCCGTATTGTCACACCCAGCCTAGTACAGATAGTTCCGCCACCGTCCCAACACTCGTGATATACGAAAGGCAGCAGTCAGTCGTTTGTTATGAGTATCCATCGGGGATTTCACACAAAAGGCACGTTCGATAACCAGCCACTATATACGCATGAACTTCTCGCAAATTAACACCGCCTCCCGCGTGCGATATAACAAGCAATAAGACGGCAATTAACACGACCGCCCGCGTCGCGGCGTCACATCCACAACCGTCGTAAGCGGCGGACGCTAACGATTCTTCTATAGTCTGTTCGAAGCGGAATGCATCGTACGAGCTCCTCTGGTGTCCGCTCCCCCAGCACCCGCAGACACGCGTTACATTCCACGTCCCACAGCCTGCAGACACGCAAACACGTCACAGCTCATCGTCATAAGAAGCGACGCGCGTAACAGCTCATCGTCATAGCGACGCGCTGTAAACAGACTCATCGTCATAAGCAACTGCGCGCAGCGTAAACGATCGTCACGCTCGAGATTACGAAAGTGGCAGAGGCCAGTCAATACATTACCAGAAAACCGTAGTGTATGCCGCATTGCTAATTAAAATTAAATGATAGTATAGAAGCAGAGAGAAGAAGGGAAGAGAGAGAGAGGACAGAGAGAAGAAAGAGACGAGAGAGGAGAGAGAGAAGAGAGAGAGAGAGAGAAATGAAGAGCAACCGAGAAAAAGAGAGAGGGGTGAGGGTGAAGGAGAGGGAGCAAGAGGGAGAGAGCGAGAGAGAGGGCGTGAGAAAGGAGGGATGGAAGGAGAGATTGAGTAAGGGAAGGTAAAATGAAGAGGATTAGAGATGAGCGAGAACAAGAGCACGAGAAAGAAACAGACAAGAAAAGACAGAAAAATGACAAAGAACTGGAGAAAGATGGTGTGAGAGACAAAATAAAAAAGAAATGTATGACAGTACATCATACTGTAGGTAAAACAGAATGAGGTACAGAAGACAGTAAAACAAGAGGATGAAGCAACTATCACACACTATAAAAAACGAGGAGTGCAATTCACAAGGCTGTCTCCTCCAGTACACATAAACGCACCGATACCACGTCACCGAGAAGAGAGTATTCCTTACCTGATGGTGTCTTAGCAATAAATTTAACGATATAACCCAGAGAAACCCAACATTAGACTAGTGGGATTTCAGAAAAAGGGTGTTGTACAAGGTTCAAAGCGCATTTTTGAGTAAAAGTTGGGAACCAGACTTTTTAACATAATTCGAGTATGCTGAATCCGATAAGCCCGGTTCCCAAGCGAAATTTTGAGTTTTTGTCCATCTAATTTTAGTATACATCTAGTATTCGTTACCTGATGGTGTTGTCCGAGCTGCCGCTCACCACGAGTCGGTCTCTGTACTGCAGGCAGGCGATGCCGCGCTTGTGGCCTGTCAGCGTCCGCACAAACTCACACGTCGACGTATTCCACACCTGCAGAGACGACCGGCGTGTTAGCAACGACGACACGAGCGTGCTGGAGTACATTATCACACAGTACGGCCGGTAGACGCATCTCTAACACTTACTACGCTACTCACGTTCAAACTCTTTAGAGCAAGGGTTCTTAACCTGTGGTCCACGGACCCCTGTGGGGTGCGTAGATGGGCTTCAGGGGGTCCGGGAACCAGGTGCATAAAAATTATTGTGTTTATGTGCTTATGTGCATTTTTCTGGGGAGGGGTGCGTATCTTTCACCAGATTCTCAAATGACTCAAAAAAAGTTAAGAACAACTGCTTTAGAGACTTCCGCGTGCATACGGAGTCGATTGGAACACCAGACAGGACCGGTCTAAATATGTTCGAAGAAGTAGTATTAGATACGGATGCCCGGTCGGTCACACACACACGTACGTACGCACAAACATTTCTACGTCTTCGTCTATTTCTATTATTTACAATACCACACGCTACACTCCACTACATGCAGGTTTAATTACAAATTCCTCCAGCATACTTCAGTGCACAGTACTGTGCACAGTTGAAACAATTGTGTTATATATGAGAATAATATTAATTTTAATGTTATTATACATCTACGGATCTTATACCTAATTAAGCCCTGTCTACACTAGCAAACTTTAGTTTGCAAACTCGAGCAAACTCCGAGTTTGGCAAGAAAAGTTTTCCAAAGTTTGCCAGTGTAGACCAGTTGACAAACTTCGGCAAACTAGCTTGCAGAAGTTTGCAGAAGTTAGGCCGTGCACCTTCTTGACAAACTAGTTTGCTCGAGTTTGCTGAGGTTTGGAATAACTCAGCCAATCAAATGACAGTTTGTAGTCATGTGATCCTGCAGATAGACAAACATTGGAAATTGAACATTGGAATTCACAGTCAGTATCAGTAGTGTAGTGTAGTCAGTACCATAGTGTAGACAGGCACCACAAACTTCTCCAAACTTTAACAAACTCGGAGTTTGCTCGAGTTTGCAAACTAAAGTTTGCTAGTGTAGACAGGGCTTAAAAAATATTTTCTGCTCGCTGCGCTTGCCAACAGTTGGCAAACATTTTTTTTTACCTAGATATGTTCACCATGGGTGGCCATATTTAGCAGCTAGATTAGGCCCTGCGCATGTATCTCACCTTTATGGTTCTGTCGCCAGACGCAGAGACGATATACTTCTGATCGAAGTCGACGACATTGACGGCGGCTCTGTGGCCGACGAGCACCCGGCGGATCGTGATCTCCGTCGGCGAGTGCATGTCCCACACGGCGATCGAGCGATCCTGCGCAGAAAGGCCAGCGGCGATTAGCAGGGCCTAATCCAAGCCATTTTTCATGGACGCACGCATGTACGCACGCACGCACGCACGCACGCACGCACTTACCAGCCATTACGCTTACCATTACCAACTACCACGTGGAATTAGGCTTCACAACAACAAAACACTAAATCTGCTAGCATTGCCCTACCTGACATATAGCTGCAGCAGATTCGTGCTATCTGAATGTACTCCAGTACTCGCATACCCCAAGGACACAATTAGAGATGGTATTGACGGCACACACACACAACGGAAGTCAGTGTAGCATGTGTGCCTAATGGGATTCCATTAAAAAGGATGAGGCCAATACTGCCATTATTTTTCACGTATCGAATTTCTGTTTACCCGCTGCATTCGCCGTGACGCACGGCACGGCTTTTCCATGAAGGTGACGTCAGACGACGATACCCATCTGTTATTCCCAACGGAAGATTTGCGCAATCTAATCCCTAACCACTGGAAGTGACCACGGGTACCACAGCCACAGCAACATGTTTCCCTTACACTACCAGTGGCACTAGTAGCACTAATAACACGCTACGTTACTACGGTCAACCCTGTTAGCGTTCACCTCTATGCAATGAACAGCATACTGACTACAATGGTGACTCTTTGCATGTCGCTAATGCGACCCTCCAGGACCCTCCAGCCGGAAACTAAGAGAGAATGCGACCCTAACATACAAGTTGGACCCCCAATACAATCTCACGCATCGGTACAGTTTGGAGAAGGTCGTCACAGCCTCTCTCCATCGCAAACACGACAACTTCAGGACGACTGCCGCGCGCCGCCGCACGCCGACTCACCTTCGAACAGGTAACCATCATGCCGGCCTCGAATCGCAGGTGCAAAACCGCTTCGCAGTGATGTATGATCGTGTTCACCATGTCACCCGTGTGCACGTCCCACACCCTGAACAATACACAGCAACGTCGCATTCAATCAGATGATAACATTTAGTGCAAATAGACCTCCTATAAATGCACATATTATGACCGAAATAGACCTTACAGTAAAACAGAATGCCGAGCAATATCGATGTAAGACGATAGATATTACATTACTGTGTGCACAGCGACACAAAACACAATCCCACGGGATACAGTACTGCGGCAGTGTTATATCACTTTCTAAATACTACGGTTCAAGCAGAGAGAAAATCCAGCCAGGTGACTCAAAAAATGTGAATGCAATCAAGAGCGTATGAAGAAGGAGAGCGTACAACGGTGAAATGCTGAAACCATGTTGCAGTATTAGTCCAATTAATAAACTTTCCCCGTTTTATTTTGACGATTCTTTGCAGTATTATTGATCACCTGTCCTACCTTGTTAAGATACATGGTTTCAGCATTTCACCGTTGTACTCTCTCCTTCTTAATACGCTCTTGATACAACGCATGTCAATGCCACACTTTCGCATTTGCAATAACTAGAAACCAGTATTACAGGGTTGGGAAACAGAATGATACAGGATTATCACAACAAGCAACTGAAATTAACCAGATATAAAAAACAAATTGAATGTTATCGGCATTTTTTTAAACTAATTCAACCGGTACGATCTTTAAGAATCATGCCTGTCACAGAAAACGATAAGTCTTCGAAAACGTGGACACCGAATAATAAAGTATAAACCTCGCACACTCTCACGCTAACGCGTCATGCATGGGGGGGGGGGTTCTTTCGTATTACGAAGGACGTAGAGACAGACCTGACAGTGGAATCGCTGGACCCAGTGATGATAACGTTCTCGTCATACTGGAGGCAGAGCACGGAGCCTGTGTGCCCCGTCAACACCTGAATACAGTCCAGCGTGTTCCGGTCCCAGATCTACGCAACGAAACGACAACAACGCATGACATTTTAACGAACGAGAGACCGAGAGAAATGAAACCGGATAAGAATGCATTAACGTTTAAATGAATTACCATTTTCAAACATACAGGTGAAAACTTGATGTGAATTCGTCCGCGCTGCATCAAATTTAGTCGTACAGATGTGTGGTAAGTAGCATACAAGGCTACAAGCATTTACTAACGTCACCGTGACTCCGATTCTGCCAAGCTATAGATCGATTTCAACCCAACCCCGGACGAAAGTGTTTTTTATTGTTGTTTTTACCCTCGCATTTTCGAAAATAAACGATATCACTCCTCCTCACACATGCCTGTACGCTGTCTAACACCAACATGACCTTTACATGACTACCAGGCTACGAACACCGCCACCCTTTTCTAAGCTTATACCTACGCACGGTATCAGGACAAATACCCCCCGGACAATCACCCCCCAGACAATTACCCCCCCGGACATTTA